GGTTTTAAGCTCTAAGGTGGAGAAATACACTTCATCAAGGTGAAGCACAGCAGCACTAATCATTGGTGAAAAGTTCTGAGTGCCCAAGATGGGTTCTGTTTGTCAGATGTAATAAGACACAGGGACAATAGGTGGGTTTTAGGACTCCCCTTGACCAGATCTGCCCTTTCCTCTCTCCATTTGAGGAGGCTTGCAGCTTGCTAATGTGAGGGGAGCAAATATCAGAAATGACTTTATCTTAGATAAGGAGACAGGGAGGCCAAAATGTAGCTATAAACTGTAAATGATGGAATTAATTGGGAAAGTAATGCACTTTCAGCAGGTTGGGACAGGTTGTTTCCGGGACAGAAGATGGAGTTAGGCTTTAAGGTTGGAGTGTTTGTTAAAGCTTTGGGTTTTTTTCCCCCCTGGGATGATCCCCTGAGCGTGGGGTCATTGTCTTGGTATATGAGAGAGTGATTATCTATGCATACTATTTACTGTTTCCCATGTAAACTATGTAATTTATGTCTTGCTGTAATTGATAGAGTTTCTGTTTAAAATTCCTAACTTCTGCTCTATTCAGCTTCTAGGTTTGGGCTATTGTCTTGTTGAGTGCACTCTCTGATGTAAATTACTCTTAAATAGAGTGAATTAAACTTTAAATAAGTAGCTAACCTCAAGGCCAGGACAAGCTGACCAGATCCTCCTGAAATGTCCATTTAGATAAGGATGGGAGTGGCCAGGTGGTCGGGTTTAGAGAGAAGTCAATTAAAATGCCATCCAATCACAAATGTAATATCCAGGTGGACCTAAGTCAGGCAGAGCCCTGTTTCATCTTTTAGACTTCAGCCATTCCTTGGCTTAGCTTTCACACTAGCCCTCCCATGTGGGAGCTTTGCTATCTTTTCAATAAACTTTGTCCTTACTTTACTCTTAACTCCTGGTCCGGTGTCTTCAATCATTGTCTTTGCTAGGACACAAACTTGGGATCAACAATTCAGTATCACTAATATCTCAAAGAGGAAGACAGATGTGGGTAGTCCTTGTAAGTCTCTCTGTTCTTGTAGCTCAGCACCTGAAAGAGGACACGATGGGGTGTCTAGCTGTGTTGAGGGAATCTTGACAGACAAGAAACCAAGCGACACTCAGAGGAGTGAAGAACTTAGATTTTATTTTACACCAGTGAGCTCAGATGTATACCGTGTCTGAGCATCTGAACAAAGGATTCACAGGATATTTAAAAGGCAGTGCAGGGCATCAGGTTACAAGAATGTGCTCAGAAAAAAAAAAAAAAAAAGAATGTGCTCAGGTTAATTGGGGCTAGTCGTGAGTTAAAGACCTAAGGTTGTTTAGATAAAGTCAGCTGGGGAGACCTGCTTTGGAAAGTTTATTTACAAGTGGAGACAAAGGAAGGCAGGAATGAGTGTTTATCTCTACATGGTGCCTTTACCTCGGTCCTGAACTTTTTGCATGGCTTTAATGGGCAATTCCTCATGCTTTACATCTCTGGCAGCTTATGTTTTATGGCCCTGTTTCAAGGCCATCTTCCTCTTCATTCCCCCCTTTGGATGCTATCTCCACTTGTGGACAAGCATCAACACTAGACTTTAGAAATTCCATAGGTTTCTGTTGTCTCGAAGGCCTATATTGTGTTACTAAGAGCTGCAACTTTATTGCCTCCATCTGGGAGCTAATACAGTGAGTTATGGTGTTAAGAATGCATGGACCAAACACCAGTGCCAATAGGACGGGGCCAGATAACGGAATGAGCCACGATGTCCAGTTCCAGATGTTGCTCCATCTGTTCCAAGAATTTGTAATTCCTGTCTCCTACGTGCGACTGGGTCCTGCAATTGCTGGGCCATATCTCTGACTATTCCTGAGTGATTTACATAAAAACAACACTCTTCGTTTAAGAAAAGGCAAAGCCTTCCCTTTTTGGCAGTGAGTAAATCCAACCCTCTCTGGTTTTGGAGGACCACTGATGCTAGGGAGTCCAGTTGGTTCTGCATAGTCATTATGGACTTAGCCACTTGCTCTATGTCATTTGTTAGCTCTGTGGATAATTGATTATAGTAGGCAGCTGACGAGGCAATTCCTCCTATGCCCGTTCCTATCCCAGCCATTACCCCCAGTCCAATTGGATAGCTCTCTTTGACTGCATGTGAGCCACTAAAGGCATGGGGCTGATTATTGGACACTATGTTTATCTGGGGGGTGAGGAGTGCTAGTGTACAAACACCCTTCCAGTTAGCTGGCAAACAGTGATAAACAAGGGTCCTGCAGACAAAGAAGATTTGCAGGCTGCTGCACCAAGCTTGTTGACTGCACATCTAGTGACAGTAGCTGTACAGTTTTAGACTTGAGCACACTGGTCAGCAGCCAGTTCCCCAACTGGATAGTTTCCTTTTGAATTGTAGATACAACTAGGGGCCCTCTGAAATAGCTGTATATTTTTTATTTTGGGTTTTGCACTGGTAGAGTTGAGAGGAGTTTCATGTTCACTCTGGTTGAGGAGGCTTACCAGCCAGGATTGCTACATATTGGAGAGGACCCGAGGCCAGGCAGGGTCAGCAATTGCTTGCCAATGGTGGGTTCGTGAGACTAAGAAGGTGGTGGGTTGCATTTAACAAGTTATAAGTTGAAGTTCCAAGTTAAGGTTCTCTGTCCTGGAAGGAAGCCTCAACGGGGGTGGTGGTGGTGGCAGATCAATGTCTTCTACAGACTCATGTCTGCCTAGGTAATCAATCACCTTTGGGTGGCCCTTCCAGATCCATGACTCTCCCCTTAGTAAACTGATGTGGGGGTGGGGGTGCAAGGGTAAGGTGCCCAGACATAATGAGGTTTATTTCTTCCCCCTGTCATTTCATCATTCCATGCCTTTAAGGGGTCCCCGTCTTTCTGCCAGCAAACCGTCTGTCCTATAGTGCCCTTGTTCTTGCAGGACCTGGTTAGGCCTGTCAGCTTTCCTTTATAATAAATTGATGTATTCAGAAATTGATATGCTGCACACAGGTGACAGATACTGATAAAAGGTGAAGGTGTACCGCAGTTTTTCCTGGAAGGAAAGTGGCTGAGCAGTCATCCTGGGCTCTCAGTTGAACAACCTCAAAATGTAGCAGAGTCAGAAGGCGATAACACATCAGAGACCTCATGCTGGAGACTGGGGTCTGGACTACAGATAACACCCAACAGCAGTTAGGCTTCCAACTATGAGGAGATAGCTTTGCATGGCTTTAGTGGGCAATTCCTCATGCTTTACATCTCTTGCACCTTACCATGTTTTATGGCCCTGTTTCAAGGCTATCTTCCTCTTCAGCTGCTCTGGCATTTTATTTTATTTATTTATTTATTTTTGGTGGGATTGGGGTTTGAACTCAGGGCTTTGAGCTTGCAAAACAGGCGCTCTACCCCTTGAGCCACACATTTAGTCCATTTTGCTGTGGTTATTTTTAGAGATGAGGGGGGTCTCAAAAACTGGCCTTGAACCTAGATCCTCCCACTCTCAGCCTCCTAAGTAGCTAGGATTACAGGCGTGAGCCACTGGCACTCTACTGGCTTTTTAGTTTTTACTTCTTTCCAATGTTTGAGTCTAGCCCTTTAAATATTTATTAAAATAATATAATTTCCCTGTTTCCTCATCTTATCTTGCTGTTGTATGCCGATGTGAAATGTTGCAGGCCAGTGTTGAGGGTCCTTGCCTTCACAGGCCAGGGAACTGGCTCGTGAGGCAGCTGATTGACTTGTGAGCCAAGGCCGGTATATAAATTAGGATTTATTAGAGAGAAAGGAAAGGCTAAGCTAGAGCAGTGCAGTGGAGCCCGGAAACCAGTGGCTCGCTGCTCAGGTGAAGGCTGGGGCTTTTATGAACGTTTTACCTCTGGGTCTGGGTAAGGGTTAAGTGGGTTCTTTTCATTGGCCATGGATTCGTGGGCTTTCTTAGATGAACTGGTTTGTTTCCCTCTTATTGGGGGTGGGAACAATCTTGACAGCATTTTGCTCATCAGCCCTGTGGCAGATCTATGAGATCCTGTATCTCCTCTTCAGGATGCAGAAATGCAGGTTTACAACTCCTTCTCAGGAGGCAGGAATCATAGTGCTCTCCCGGGGGACTGGGATACTCACTGATCTGCCCTTTAGGTCTCCAGATCCAACATTGCCTCAGAATGAATGACAGCAGAACAACCAGATCCTTCAGCCTGATCAGGAGCTACCATCCTGGCCACAGAGCTGACTCACCTTGTCTCTAAGCAGGGGACACCAGGCTTTTCCTGCATGACCAAGGTCATCCAGTGACTATCCCACCCACACGAATGGGAGAGAAAGGGGACAGGGGAAGGGAGGTGGGAACGCACAGCATGCTGGCTCTGAGATGGGAGATTGCTGCTATGTAACATGCAATCCTACAGTCTCCTATCACAGCCCCATCTTACACCAGTCAGCACCACAGCCCCTGACCCCCGGCCTGGAAGGCTCCATGGTAGCTGGCAGCACTGGCCATTGAGTCTCTGACCTGTATCCAGGAGATAGGGCATGGTTCAGTTATCCACAAAACCCACCTGCAGCAGGGTCTTAGCCCAGGAAAGGGTGCTGGATTTCAGCAGAGAAGTCCAACAGTGAGGGGTGGTCTGTGGGGCTCTTGTTGGGTGCTGGAGATGGAGGGCTGTGTAGGGGCCTGAATGGGGCTCTGAACAGGGACAGTGAGCTGCTGCAGCTGTTGGCCAGGGCTGGGGAGATTTCCAGGCTTGGGAAAGTCCCGAGGACCAGACCCATATGCAGCAAGGACGCAGCAGCCTGACAAGTCTGGGATGCACTTCCACACAGAAAGCTTCCCCAGACCCTCCTTCCCATCCTGCCCTGGAGTAAGTTGATCCTCATGATTTAGTTCCGCCTCCATCAGTACCCAGCCAATTCCCAACAAGCCAAAGTTCAGGCAAAGGAAACTTCTGAGAAATCGAAACTGTTTGGGAGAGGGTGGGGCCACTGAGCCTCGCTCATCCTTCACAGCCCACAGCTGGTCGAGAGCAGCCACCATGAACCATCCTCCCCAAACTTTCTTCACCTCTGCCAACGCTGGCCTCCCCCCAGACTATGAGAGACTCAAAGAGGAACATGAGGTGGCCGTGCTGGGGGGACCCCACGGCTCGGCTTCCATGACGACCACCGTGATCAACATGCCCAGGGACATCTCCCTGCCTGACCATGTGGTCTGGTCCCTGTTCAACACGCTCTTCATGAACTTCTGCTGCCTGGGCTTCATTGCCTATGCCTACTCTGTGAAGGTGCGTATGGTGCAGGGTATAGGGTATAGGGTAGGGGGAGAGCTCAGGGAAGGTGTGTGAGCCCGAGGCTTCACCAGCCCAGTGGGCAACTGCAGTGTGTGGGCCTGTGTTTGTGGGTGTGAGTTTGTGCTCCTCTCCTTCAGTGTGGGCCCTGGAAAGAGTGTGTGTGTGTGTGTGTGTGTGTGTGTGTATGGGGGGAGAGCACTTGGGGAATATCCCAAGGGTGGCACAGGTGAGGCTGCCTGTTCCTATGATGTCCTTCTTATAGACAGTGAAACCCAGGTTGTGTGGAAAGTGCAGAGGGGACTCATGGGAGACTTTGCCCCCCAGGTTGTGTGAGCAGCCAGTGCTGGTCTTCCTGGAGAGGCAGTGTGTGTGGAAGGGGAGGGGTGGTCCCAGGCTGAGTGAGGACAGGTGGAGGCTGCAGTGGACATGGACTCTGGGGACCTGGGTTAGAGCTGTTTCTTGACCTGTGCCAGAGCTCCTCACCATCTGGTCTCCTCCAGTCCAGGGACAGGAAGATGGTGGGCGATGTGACTGGGGCCCAGGCCTATGCCTCCACTGCCAAGTGCCTGAACATCTGCGCCCTGGTCTTCAGCATCCTCACGGCCATCGTTCTCATCATACTTTTTGCCACCAGCTCTCTGGTAGCCTATAAAGCATATGAACAGCAGATGAAGAATCATGGAGGCTTCTAGTCCTGCCATGCCCTCCACCCTCTGTTGCTGACTCTCACCCTAGGGCTGAGGCTCTGACCCACCACCCCAGATTAATGCAGCCGCTCACATCCACACATCTGTGCAAGACTGGATTCAATAAAGTGCACGTGCTTGTGAGTGTGCTGTGACATTTTTGGGGAGGGAGCCTTGCTGGAAGACCCCAGCCTGGGCCTGAGACTGAGTCCACCCTCATCCCTGTGTGAGGGGAGCAGGACATGGGCTCAGGTTGGCAGATTTCTGGCTTCCTGCTGTGGGCAGCAGCCGACCAGCATCCTGGGTGGGGTCTTCCTTCCCGGTATTGGACCGCTGCAGGCTGGCTGGTGCTCAGCGTGGCCAACGTTGGCCCCATGCCCCCGGAACCCCAGGAGAGGGTGCAGAGGACCTGACCCAGGGAGTCCAGGTTCAGGGTGGGACCCAGACACAGAGGTGTCCTTGCGCTGTGTGGTGGCCTCGAGGTGTGGGGATCTGGATTTTCACGGGCTGACGGAGCACACGGCCCGCTGCGGCTCTGAGCTGGGAGCTGGGAGCTGGGGAGTCTGTGCCGCCCCTCCCCGTGCCCACCCCTCACCCACTGTGGATCAACCCCCCCCCCCCCCCCCCCCCCCCGTGCCCGCAGCTCTCAGGTTTGTTCCAGGGCCCCCGGCGGGCGGGTCGGAGGGCGGAGAAGCGCACGATCGCCTCTCTCGGGTCCCGCTGGGCAGCGGGAGGCCGGACCCCAAGTGAGCCGCGGGAGGAGGGGGCGGCCTGGAGGACTAGCTCGGCGCCACGACGCCCCCTGCCGGCAGCCGGCGCAGCAGCGCGTTCCGCGGCGGCGGCGGCGGCCACGTGACCGCACCCGGCTTGGCCCCTCGCGTGGAGGCGGCGCCCCGCAGGGCCCCCGGTCCCTCCTCCGCCGCGGTGACCGCAGCTCCACGTCCCCACCGCTCCTAGGGCCGCCCCAAGTGTGCCAGTCTCCTGAGGCCCCAGGGCGGGCGGTGCGGCGCTCCCTGTCCACGCAGGGGTCCACTGCGCGCTCAGGTTGTTAGGACCCGGAATCCTATTCCCCCGAGAGACAGAGAGCCAGGCGTGAATGCAATCAACAAAGCAGAGTTTATTGGGCTGGCTAGCCAGGGTCGAGCTCCCACACGGACACGCAGGACCGGTTAGGAAAACACGACCCTGAGCCTCTTTAGGGGAAATCTTATATAGACCGCGGTGGCGTGCATATTTTCGTTATCAACATTGGGCAAGCAGGCAGAGCACATCTTGCGCGTACCTCACATCTTGCACGTACTTCACATCTTGCATGTACCCCCCGCTCACATTCCCCACATTCTATATGCCCTAACTGAGCCCTGCCGCATTGCTTATCTTATCTACATGGGATGTTTGGTACTGGTTTCTCCAACAAGGGGGTTGGGGCCCGCTGAGACCTCCTATTCCTTTCATTCCCCCCTTTTCTTACGGCCTAAATTGAGGAATCATTCTCAAGGGGATGAAGAGCCTGATATTGTTGGCGGAGGACCAGAAGTTGGATAGTATTAATTCGACTTTTGACAAAAGTCATAAGTCGGTTTAGAATCCAGGGTCCTATGGTAACAAGTAATAGGATGATTATTATTGGCCCTGCCAATGCAGATAAAAGGGTAGCCAACCATGGGGACTGGTTAAACCAAGACTCGAACCAGCTTTCCCCGGCCTCTCTTTCTCGTTTTCTTTGTTCCAGGCTCTTTCGAAGTTTAGACATGGAGTCACGAACAACTCCGGTATGGTCAGCGTAAAAACAACATTCTTCCCCTAGAGCAACACATAGTCCCCCTTTTGGAGGAACAACAAGTCCAGACCTCGTCGGTTTTGAAGTACTACCTCAGACAGGGAAGTGAGGGATTTTTCTAGGTGGCTAATGGAGGTTTCTATTCTCTCTATATCTTCGTCTATGGCTGCACGCAGCGAAGACATCCCTTTCTGCTGGGTGGCCAAAGAAGCTATGCCGGTTCCTGCTCCCGCTAACCCTAGGCTGAGTAGGGTAGCAATAGTTACTGTGGAAATAGGTTCTCTCTTTTTCCTTTTTTCAACCATTTTTGTATTCCAGTATGAATATAGACTCTCTTCCGAATGATAGAGGATGCGGGGCAGCACAGTCCACTATAACACAGAATTCTTTAGAGCTGTTAAACACCTTAGTTGATAGGCACGGGGTGAGTCCAGACCGCGAGCATAGCCACCACCCATTGTCCTTTGGAATTACCCATTTAATAGCATTTTCCCAGGTAGAACTGGCGTTAATAACAGTACATAAGTCCCGTCTGTTCTTTGGCACTTTTCCTAAGCAGGTTCCTTGGCCGTTACCTGCTGTATGGTCAGACCTCTCTTACGGTCTCCCCAGGAACATTGAGTAGGGTTTTCCTCAGATGAGGTATCGTGAGTGGTGTTTAGCCCTATTGCCTCATAGAATGGGGGCCTCACATCATAACATAACCAACAGGAGTTAGTCATGTTAGGGTTGGTGTGGTTTAACGTCAGGAAGGCAGCACCCACTAGCTCCCAGAGGGGGTCTTTAGATGCGGTCATGAGACTGGGCCTCACCAGGGGAGGGCTGGTTTCTGATGGTCTTGGAGTTGTAACATTAGCCCGGGCTATGGTTGAGGGAAGGTGATGAGCTGTGGAAGGTCGGGGAGGTGGCTTTACATAGGGTGGCCTAAGTACCTTATTAGGGCCTATTGTTAGAGTAGAGACTGGTTGTTGCACACGCCGCAAAGTAAAAAGGGCTCCTGGATGATTTGTTTTGTAGAGTCTGACTCCCCAGGATTTACCCAATTCCCAATTCGTTGCCTTTTTTCCTAAATCAGTGAAATTTATCATAATGGGATTACAATTGGGGGGAGTTGGGCATCCCTTATTTATAGGTCTAGGTTGGTGGTATGTAATGCCAGATTGAGAGACTCTACTTAATTGAATAAGGTCCCCCTGTTTGGGGGGTGGCCACCATATATCCCCTGAGCTCTCACAACCCCATGACTTACAATAATAGTCTGCGATTCCTCCACATTTTTTTCTGTGGTTGGGTTGGGGAGCGGGGCAGACATAGAAGTAACTTTGGCGCAAATCCCATTGTCCCCTGCCAGTGAATAAGGCCCTTAAGTCAAAGTATAATTCTGGGAACCAGGTGCTGGGAGGGGTCACCTTGGAGGTCTGGTTAAGAATGTCTCCTGTGGACACATCTACAATCATCCAGGTCAGGTTAAAAGGTTGATGTGGATTTGTATGCCCCCAGCAAGTGGTGGACAGGGTTAGAAAAAGGAATAAAGTTACCGAGGTCCAGTATGAAGTTTGAGTTTGAAAAAATTTTCCTTGTGGTGGGACACCCTTCTTGTTGGCAGGAAGCCTTTCTTCATAGCTACCGGATCTGCCGGTCTGATGTGGGTGTAGTGGACCCAGGTGATAATCCCATTCTAGGAGGGCTGCGGAGCATCTGGAGTGTTCTCGTTTTTCGGAGCATCCCGTATCAGCCGGAGCTTGAGTGGGTTTGTTGGATGCTTCCGTGCGGACCAATTTTCCTGTTTTTTCTCCGGAGGGTGAGCCCGTCTTACATGGGAATGGTGTACCCATGCTGCAATCCCGTCGACCTTGAGGGCGGTAGGGGTAGTAAACAGTACAACATAAGGTCCTTTCCATCTAGGCTCTAGGGTTTTGGACTGATGCCTTTTAACCCATACCATGTCACCCGGGACTATGCCATGTTCCGGAGCCGGGTCCCTCTTAACAGCGTGGTATGCTTGAATTAAGGGCCAAATCCGTTGTTGCACTTTAGCTAAAGCCTGCAACATGGTCAGGTAATTTGGGGCCAGATCACCTAGTTCTGGGCTTAAGGTCCTCTGAATGATGGGGGGTGGAGCCCCATACAGGATCTCAAAGGGAGTTAGCCCATGGACATAGGGGGAGTTCCGGACTCGGAAGATGGCCAAGGGAAGGAGCGTCACCCAATCACCGCCAGTCTCCAGGGCCAATTTGGCTAAAGTCTCCTTTAGTGTCCTATTCATCCTTTCTACTTGCCCTGAGCTCTGGGGGTTATATTCACAATTGGCCCCCATAGTCTGGGCTAGTCCCTGCAGGACTTTACTAACAAAAGCCGGACCGTTATCTGACCCAATTGCCTCGGGCAGCCCATATCTGGGTATGATTTCCTCTAGCAAAGCCTTTGCCACTACCTGACTCGTCTCCTTCTTTGTAGGAAAAGCCTCCACCCAGCCTGAAAAGGTATCTATGAATACCAGCAAATATTTGTACCCAAACTTTCCCGGTTTTACCTCAGTAAAATCCACTTCCCAACTTCTTCCCGGAGCCCTCCCCCGTTCCCGAGTACCTGTATGGTGCCCCTCCCTTCGTCCTGGTTTCATGATTGTGCAGCTGGCACAATCTTCCACAATTTGGTGGACTGCTATGGTCTGGTTTGGAAATCGGAGCTGCGCAGATGTCAACAAGTCTAGTAATTTTCTCCGCCCCAAATGGGTGGACTTATGTAAGTTAGCCAACAGGAATCGTCCGAGTTTTTCAGGCAGAATTAACTTGCCTTCCAAGTCGCTTTTCCATCCGTCTTCCCCTTCTCTAAAGGGGGAGTGGGCTCTCATCCAAGTGAAATCCTCTGTGGAGTATTCTGGTCGGGGGGGTAGCGGAGGGAGCTCTGGGACCGGCACGTCTATCGCCGCAACCGTGGAAGGTTGCCCTGTCTCCATGGGAGGACTCACCATTGCTACTCTCTTTGCTTCTTGATCTGCTCTGTTGTTACCGACAGCTTCCGGCGTCTTGGCAGACTGGTGGCCTGGGACATACATCACTGCCACTGCCTTCGGTTTTTCCACTGCCATTAATAGACGCTGGACTTCGGCTAGGTTCTTTAGATGTTTTCCTTCTGCTGTGCGGAATCCTCTTTCGCGATAGATGGCCCCGTGGACATGGATGGTACCGAAAGCATAGCGGCTATCGGTGTAGATATTGACTCGCTTTCCTTTTGCCCTCTCCAGGGCCTCTGCCAAGGCAATTAATTCCGCTTTTTGGGCTGATGTTCCGGGTGGGAGGGCGCTGCTCCATACCGTATTTCCTTCTTGGTCGACTACAGCTGCCCCTGCCCTTCG